TATAATAACACAACCCCACGCAAAACTTCAACTGCACAGGCCAATGTTACAAGAAGCTGACTGGAAACGGGACATCTTACATTCCTGTGGCCACAAAAATCACTCTTGGGTCCTAGGATTTATTTCCCTTTCTCAGAAGCCCAGGACAGATAATGAATACCCCTCATCGGCTGATCAATCGCTCGCACTTACAGGCTGGCACCCATCCCTCCCCACCCCACCACCCATGAACAAGGTTAAAAGAACAGACTGGTGAGTGATGGTCAGACAGGAACTGGCTTCGGAAGAGGAAGTTGAAAATATTAAGAAATCAACATGGGCATTTAAAAGCAAAGCCCTTCCCATGCTACAGAAGACGCTTGGCCATTCATCTTGTTGCATGACTCTGCTTCACCAACTTGATGGAAGATGGTTTAAATGACATAAAAACCAGCTGTATATGACCAGCGGTGATTGATGAAGCCATTCCAAGCATCAGCCAAAAACAGCACTAAAAGATGCCTCTGGCTTCCTGTTAACTGTTTTATGAGGGGACCAATACTTTCCTCATGTTTTGTTCAAAGAATAAATTAGCAGAACAGGTAGTGCTTTTGAAAACAGGGCAGTATGACACTGACAGAGACAATAAGAGGAGTAAAAATGGCCTGGGTGCCCAGGCACAGGCAAGGGCAGAAGAACGGATGTGCCAAGCTCCTTCCAGAGGCAGCTCTTTAGCTTCAGGAAACACAGTCTAACTAAGTTTTATTTAAGTCCATGAAGTAATTGTGCCCTTAAGCAGCCCTCCCTTATAAGCACAGTGTCTGGATGACAATGGAAAGAGAAGCTCACCTTGGACAGGAGCTTGGAAACGTGCACAGATGGTCCAAATGAGCCATGATAAAGAAGGGCAAGGGGGAGGAAGAGCAGCCGCAGAAGAACGAGGGAGGGCAGACCTGCAGGGCCGTGCTAACGTGGGCGCACTCTCGACCTGGGGCGAACGAGACGCGGCAATCTGGCGCCATACTCTTAGAACATTGCTTAATATGGAAAGGAAGCAAAAGCAGGCTTTCCCGAGTGTTAGAATTCCCCTTTTGTGTTTCCCTTCCTGGAGCATACAAGACCTTTCCCTGCCTTTCTTCCCTCTTATTTTGAAGGTTAATTACGACCTGGAAGCGTCTTAGGCATCCAGGCACTTGGGACTCAGCCATTGTCCAAGAACACTGTCCGCACCGCATGGCAGGAACTAACTTAGCAAGAGTCCAAATTTGGAACTCCTTTCAGAAGCTGCCGGCTGACTCCAAGCTGTGGCATTGTATAGGATGACAAATACCTCCTCAGTCCCCACATCTCTTTAAAGTCATGTACATTAGTGAAGCATCCAATTCACTTGACTTTTAAAATACGCTGGTTCATTAGTCCAGCTACAATAAGTTCCTGGCTCATGACCTGCAGTCGAAAGGCCTACCTATTCTTGTCCTCAGCTGGGCTAGGGAGCTCAAGGTACTCCTCAATTACATGACAGACTTCTAGCCCAAGTCGTACTGCATCAGGGGTTCTCACACTCTGGACCTTCACCTAGAAACTGCTTCTGCAGATGAGGCCAACGGCAATAACCTTAAATGGGAAAATGCTATTGGACAAAGATGTCCCATGACCACATAGCTGACAACAGGAAAGAGAAACAATCTGAAACTCCCGTGTTTTGAGTGACAGCAGGATGGCAAAACCCATGGCTGAGGGCCATGAGCGATCTGGAGGTGTGGTTAGGAAATGTGAAGCGAGAAAAGAAATACTATCTACATGGCACGCTTCCCGCGGTGCTAAAAATACAGATCTCTAGTATATCCGGATTGTGTGACGGAATAAATTTAAAGGGAAGGAGGGAGGCTGTCGTGGGAGTGTACGCTACCATCACAGCAAAACAAAAGAGCATGTGCGTTTTAACGTGCTACAAGAATATGCACCAAAATGCTAAGAGAAGATGTCTGGATAGTGGGTGATTTCCCCACCCCTTCCCTCTCATCTTTAACTTCTGTGCAGTTTCCATTTTGCTAGTGGGTGTGTTCTTATTTTATATGGGAAATCAGTACTTTCAAAAAGAAACGAAACTCCAAAAGGAAGAAAACGCTTCTTTCATGCTTTTGATAATTTATTGGTTGAGCCCTGTACCACACTCCAGGCCACACAGATCTGCAACCACAAGTGGAGGTGCCACTACGCTCGGAGAAGGCCTGCCGAGGCCCAGATGGGCTGCTTCCAGGGTCTCCCTGCTGAATCTGATCAGCACACTTAACCTTTTCCAGAGATGGTTACTCAACCAACCATCCCGTTCCAGGAGCCAGGAAAGGGTGAATTTGACAATCCACAGAGCTGATGGGACACAGGAACGGCGTATGACCATCTGGGTGGCAATGCCCAGCCGCACTAAATGAAAGCAGTGTTGGGGGTGGGATCCTGTTCCAGACATTTCAGTGTGGACTCGTGGAGCGAGGCGACGGGGGAAGAACGCTGTGGCAGGACAGTCATGAGATGTGCCCTAAGTGGCACCCACCGCACTCCATAGGCCCTGTACTCAGGATTATGACCACCTCCTGCATGAGCAGACAGGCACAATAGGAGGCCCTGTCTCACGCACTTTCTCGGACTGTTTTACTTCCTCCCCCGGTTGAAAGAGCTGCTGTCGCCTCCTTAGACCCAGTGGAGCTGGGGATACTGGGGGCCTTAAGTAGAACGCAGGTCACTGGCCCATCATTGCGCAGGCAGAGAACTTGAGAGCCACGGCTGCTGCCCCACAAGCCTGAAATCCTCCCATGCATGCAGAGCCAAGATGCGACACTTGCTGGGGAGCAGGATGCCCCAAGTTTAAAATGTAGCATGCACAGTGTAGCTGTACAGAAGGGAGAGACACATGGAGGAAGGGGTCAGGCTGGGGAGAAGGGACTCTGGGGCCTGCTCCATCTCAGCATTTGTTTCTACTCAAACCCTTTCTTAACCCTCAACACCTGTGGGTCCCAGCGATGGGAAGCGTCAGGAAGGAGGGAGGTCTTGGTAATGTCACTCGGCCTGCTGCTGCCTCTTTAATAAACCCCCTCGAAGCCTGCTTCTGCGCTTCCCTCACTCAAAGATTTATGTCTCGTTTTCAATGGAATGCTACATTTGGTCAGACCACGAAGAAAACTCCTCATTATAAACTAGGAAATGTGTGGAAAGAGAATTATTTACCCAAGGCAGCGCTCAATCAGTGTTACCCGAATATTTATTTAGCCCACACATGGAGAAGTTGTGTTAATGTTTGCCAGAGAATGTGGCTTTATAAAGTAACTGGGTCAAAAACAGACAGCATATCATTTTACAAATAACTTTAAAATTGCTTAAGTTAAATGGCTGGGCTCCCTCAGGTTTGTCTTTTCAAAACGCTATAGAAACAATATCTAGAATTATGTCTCATAAAACACAGGTATTATAAAGTGGCTGTTTAGCCCATTAAAGAAAATGGGGAGTGAAATCTGAATTATTTCTACCCGAGGCAGAAGCAGAGAGAGTTACCACAATTACGTTAGGCCAACGTGGCAACTGTTTCAATCCACAGGGCAGCAAGGCTAACAGTTCCTGCACCAAAACTCTATTAGGAGGGCTGTACTTGTCAGCCCACAAGGACAGGAATTCCATTTCTCAGCCCCAAATCTAGTGTAGCTATGGAAAATCTACCCAAAACATTTGTTTTTGGTTTACCAGAGGCATTTGACTGCCTCAAAATGTCCTGTGAGGGAGAGGGCTGTTAAGTGCCGCTGTCACAGAATGTCGTCTGGCGTGGTTTAGTCAATAGCTTACAAGGTAAGCAACGGCCACCTGGGTGTGAGTCCTGGCTCTGCCCTCCACGAGGTGGGTGCATCTGAGCCTTCATGTCATAAGAATGACTGATAGTCAGGAAAACAGCACAAATGACCAGAACCATCTGGGCTGAGACAAGGGGCAGCAGGCAGGGATCCATGGAAGAGGAGGGGGGGCGAGGAGGGGAAAGGAAAAGCACAATAGTAAGAACCAACGGCATCTGTCGAGCACGCGCTCTGTACCAGAATCCAGCCTAGGTGCTCAGTGCCAGGGCTCGCTCAATTCATGGAAAGTATGCTAAATACCACTGATGCCCTTGCTTGAACGCTTGCAGATCACAACATCTTCATCTACCGTGGGGACGACAACACTGACCACAAAGGCCAGCACACGTGCAACAGGGTGAGCAGGCCTGAGAGTCATGGGCCTTGAGGCCGCAGCAGAAGCAGAGGCAACCAATCCTGCTAAGGCCCTACCAAGAGGGGGTTATTATTTTGAGAGGTCCCCAAATCATATATCACCACATGGGCTAAGGGGCAGATAACTAGGCACTCCTTGATTCTTTAGAGTCTCCTGATCTTTGTTTTTTTTTTTTTTTTAATTTTAATCTTTATTACCTTCCTGATATAAAAATAATACAGGCTAACCACAGCAAGGAGTAGTGATGCACACCTATAATCCCAGCACTCGAGAGGCTGATGCAAGAGGATCATCAAGAGTCTGAGGCCTGTCGGGCTACACAGTGAATACAAGGCAGCCTGAAATACAGAGCAAGACCCTGTCTCAAAAGAACAAAGCCAAAACCAAACATGCTAACTACAAAAGTCTTACATTATGGAAAATGAAAAAAAAAAAAATTGCCCCAGAATCCTAACCTCAGAAATGACTGTAAGTATTCTTCCACATTTTTAAAGCATACAGTAGCATAAATTACATATACATATGCTATTCTGTTCTAATTTTTCAAATAATTTTAAGAAATAATTCAACTGAACAGTTTCTCCAAAAAGCTTTAAGCATCAGTTTTCAAAGATCCAATTACACAGTAGGTGGAAAAAACTAAGTTTTACCATGCATTATTAAATATCATTCCAAGTATTAAAGGTAAAATCAAACCCTAAAGATATAGGAAGTCAAAAGTTCAGAAAATCCAAGTTCCTTATCAAGATGAAAACTTCTAAATTCCAATTCCAGCAAGTATCAGAAAATATCTTTAAAATTCTAATGTGGGAGAAATGGTCACTTCCTTCACATAAAGCAGAGCTCTGCAAGTATTCCTATAGATCTTCTCTTCCAAGAACATGAGGGGTGGACGTGGAACCGAATTCAGTTGTTGCAACTGGTAAAGGACAATTTTGATTCAATGTCCCACAGCTTGGTCTGTAAGGCTTTCAAGACATCTTCCATCTGTTTTAGAGACTTCTCCATTTCCACTCTACTTTCAAGATTAAGCAGCTCTTTGTCTTCTGACACAATCTGCTTTTCAGAGGACCCTAAAGCGTAACTTTCAATGGCTTTCACGCTGAGGCAAAACAAGTTCCTCTTGTAATCTAGGTGCTTGGGAGTGCATCTGTACATGTAGCCAAGGTGCAGCAGGCAGCCGGCACAGTACAAAGTCTCAAGAACGCAACCATTTTCATTTTTCCTCATGAACAGCTTCTGTTCTTTATCTACAGAAACATTAGAGGATATACAGCGCAACAGGATGCAGTCAGATTCCTCCTGACCGTGCACCCAGCTCAGCGAGTCGCCCAGCGGCCACCGGCAGCCGGAGCACAGGAACACCAGCGGGTTCTCCCCCTGCGCCCCCTGCCCCGCCTCCGCCTCGCTCTGCGCCTTCGCCTGCCGGGCCACCGACGCGTCCCCACTCGCCGAGCTCCACATGCTCATCCACTTCTGGAGCAGCTGGTGGCGGTTCGAGTCTTCCAAGAGCCGCCGGCCCAACAACGAGGAGTTGTTCCTCTTGTCCTTGCGGTTACACGCACAGGAAACGGAGGAACATCCACCATCACAGTACGAAGGCCAAGCTCCTGCCATTGTCTACAAATCTTGATCTTTGGTTTTTGAGCTGCACGCTCTGAAGAGTTATGCACAGACCCATTTCCGTACTGATCTTGCCAGCAGGACAGGAAGCTGAGTCCAGTCAGTGTCTTGCAGGTCCTTGTACCTACAATGCCCACTCAGCTGAGCCTGTTCCTGGGAGGTGCTCAGAAAACATTTACGTGTGGAGAAATAAACATACATCTTAAAATTTCTGCTCTGGGCAGCATCTGCAAGGGCAGGAAACTTAGACTGCAGATCAAAAAGCAAAAATAAACCATCTGAACACTGGGTGTCTGCAGGGGCTGCACTAACAGATCACCATAAGTTGGATGGCTGAGAACAACAGAAATCTACTCTCTCACAGCCCAGGAGACCAGAAACCCAAAATCAAGATGTCTGCAAGGCTGGCTCCTCCAGGAAACCCCAAGAGAAAAGCATGCTGGGCCCCTGCCCCAGCATCTGGGGGCCGTGTGTGCCCCATGGTGTCCCTCAGCTTGTAGATGCACTGCTCCCATCTCTGCCTCCATCTTCCTATCACCTTGTTTTCTGGGACTCTCTGTGCCCTGTCGTCTTTTTTCTTTTTCTTTTCCTTTTTCTTTTTTTAATCTTTTGTTTGGTACAGGGTCTCACTAAGCAGCTCCAACTCCCAGTGATCCTCCTGTCTCAGCCTCCCCAGTGCTGGGATTACAGGCATGCTCCACTATGCCCAGTTTCAGTGGCCAGCTCAGCATGGGGCCAGCAAAGCATGCCGTACTGGGGATTGAACCCGGGTCCGTGCACTTGCCAGGCAGATGCTTAGATCGTCAAGCTGCCTCCCCAGCGCCTTTTCTCTTTTTATAAGGAGAATGGTTATTGGACTTAAGACTACCCTAAGTCCAGGAAAATTTCATCTTGATGGTTTTTTAACTAACTACATCTACAAAGACCTTACTTCCAAACAAGGTTACACTCTGAGGCTCTGGCTGGACATGAACTGGGGGTGTGGGTAGGGGGCAGGATTCAACCTACTGCACCCAGACAGTGCAAAGCATTCTCTGGGCTGGTTCTCCTTCCCTGAGCCTGCCCACAAGGCATGCATGTTCCAAAGCATGGCCTCACTGCAGTGACCCCGACAGTGCAGCTGCCTTGTCCCACACCATGCTACCACCTGGGAAAATAAAAATGAGGATTTCAAAACCCAAATCCCTGAAGCCTGCCTGTAGCAGCAAAAAGAGAGCAGAGCAATGCAGACACAGCTTAGGCCTGGAAAGCAAGGCCCATGTGACCACAAGTTGTGTCCCACCTGTCCCATGGGCCAGAACACACATTACCCCGGGGCCCAAATTTCCATCAGAGTCTCAGCCTAAATGAAGCTCTTCCTTCCTTGGAGGACTCTGCTTTCTCTCCCTTTGCCCAGCTGGGAGAGATAGTCATCTGTCCACCTCTCCTAGTGTCCATGGAGGGCCACTGACCAGCGAGACCCTAAGAGGCCACACCACTGCCCAACAGCCTCACTGGGTCAGGGAAGCTACGGGAGAAACACAATCCAGGAGGCCATAACAGGAGTGTGATGCTGCCCCAGATGACACTGGATGTCTGAGGATGAAACACACATGGGGGCTAGAAATTGAGGGGGATGTGTGGCTCTGTCTTCCAGTGGACAAGAGAAGTCCCTGATGCAGAAAGGTGATGCAAGTGTATAGGTGATGCAAGTTTTAGCACTTCTGGGAAGACCTCAACAAACAGTGTGGGTCCATCCAACACCTGGGACAGTCATGAGTCCACTCCCCAAATTGTTGTGTGACAGAAAGGTACTGCAGCTTGCAGGCTGCATCATATGAGATACCTCCAGTAATGCCCTGTGACAATCACATTTATTTCCTTCAGTGAAATAAGATTATGCATACTAGAGACAAGAAATGGGGATACTAAACAGTCTCAAGTCAGCTAAGGTCAACTTTCTCCACCAATTAAGCTTGCGATAAATTTATAGGAAAAAGAATGTGTTGTTGGTTGCAGCTGTTTGGATTTTGGAACATGAAAAAAGAGACTGCAGGTGCATATTACGAGCCTGACTTGAGACACTTGCTGGACTCAGGCAGCCTGATCCCAGGAGGTGAGGTGTGGAAGGGAGGCCAGGACCGAGGCCAGCGCAGCCAGCCCCAGCCCCTGCTACTCTGATGTTCCAACCAGCCCCAACTGGTGTCTGTTTTGTAAAACAAGCTTCCCCCAAAGACTTTGGTTTAATGAGAGAATTTGGAAGCTGCAAAAAAGACTAAAAAATCACTGCTGCATGTCAGAGGTTGGAAAACTTAGGTGTTAAATAATTTAGGCTTTGTGAGCCAAGGAGCAAAAGCATGTGAAGGGGGTGGGTGAGGGTGGGGCACTTACACAATGAGGCAGAAAACAAAGCCCTGCAAATTCGAAAACTCAAGACTTGACTTATGGGCACTGAGACATAACCTCAGTATAATTTTCATGTGTCACGAAATCATATTCTCCTGTTAACTTTTCCCCTACAACCTAAAAGTATAACAACTATTCTTTCCTCGTGAGCTGTATTCAAAGAGATAAAGGCCATATGTAGCTCGTGGACCACGGTTATGACCCCCGGTTTGGGTCATGCCAGGTCAAGTGGGGTCCAGCCCCTGAAGATCTATCGATAATCCTTGAGGGGGCTACATGAAAGCCCATGGCTGGATCAGAGGGACCCAGCCCCAACAGTTCCTGAAGACAGGCCTTGCCTTCTACATACAAGTCACTTGGGAGGCAACTGGATTTATATTCAGTTTTTCAAAATCTAAATCCCAAACATGGCATGTGCAAAATCATTTTCCTGAAATACTACTTTCTAAAAGTTACCTATTTTAAAAATCCAACATTTTTACCTCTCTTAAATGAGAATCATGGTACAGCAGGTGGCTGTACCCTTATTCATGTTGCATGTTCTCAGTGAATAGCACTGTTAATCGGAATATTAACAAAATGCCCAGGCCATATAAATCGGCCAGACTTCAAGTCATCCTCACAGGCTCTGAACACCGACAAGGAAGCTCAGCCAGCCAGCAGAGCACACACACTCCACCAGGAGGCACTCCACACTTCTCAGGCTCCAGGACCCTGGCTGGTGCCCGCTCTGCGGCTGATCCTGTTACCTACAAAGTCTAGTCCTACTTTCTGATATAGGGGTTTTATGGGAGACTAACATCTTATCCTGCTTGGCCCAAGAATATGCAACAACATATTAGACAAACCCTGAATTAAAAATGTAATCCAGCCCCCACCAGAAGATGGGAAATGAATATAGAAGTGAGTATAGAGAAGTTCATACGTGTAAGCTGCTTAGCAGCAAATATTAGGTTAAAATGGCAGTGTTGAAGGTGTTCTTAACCACGGAAAGGGAGAACCACAAGATAGCCTTCCAAGTTCTGGTGTGGAAGAACTTTTCAGACTGCCTTTCCAAAGCATCACAAAAGCTCCTATTTTCCAAGGACCTCAGATCTAGAACAATCCCTCACTGTTACATGTAAGTTCAGGAAGTGGCTAAGGAAAGAACTGCTGAGATCTAATTCTAGGCTTCATATGTTCTTCATGCATGACATCATTGACACCTTCAATAATCATGCAAACAAGCTATTTTTAATCTCCATTTGACAGATGAGAAAAGTGAAGCATGAGATTTTAATTAACTTGTCCAAGTCAGAAGGTCAGGGAGATCATACCTAGGCATTCAAAGCCTGTGATCTCAACCACAGAAGTCTAGTCTGAGGTTGGCCTACAATGGCCCAGGGGCTACTCTGACCCACTGTTTGGGGGTCATATTTGTATGTTGTTTGTGGCAGCTTTCATACTCTTAAGGTCAGAGGTGAGTATTTGCAACAGGGACCACTAAGCTCACAAAGCCAAGTATCTTTACCATCCAGGCCCTTGGAGAGGATGGCCATGCTGTAGTCCCATGGGTCCTGACTATGCTGTTGTCCCCTGCTGGAGAAAAGAGCTCAGTCACAGATTCCCAACAAAGCAGCATCGCCAGGCCATTCCGAAGATCCAGGCAGCTGCGCCAATCGCTGTAGCCACCAGGACAATTGCACCAATCACCTTGCTGCCCCGACAACTGGAATCCCGTGTCACGAGAGCAGTGTGTCTTTCAATGTGGCTGTCATAGTAACTACTCACACTGCTGAGACAAAAAAACCCAAAACCCAAAGTCAAAGGAGGAAAGGTTAATTCTGTAGAGCTTTCAGTCCATAATTAGTGGGCTCCAAGACTGGGTGACATGCAGTAGAGAAGCATAAAGCACCATAAGGTAGACAGGCATAAGGTAGCAAAGCAAGCAAAGTACCAGTCAAGCTTCTTTCTGTCCCTTATACTATGTCCAAACTCCTGGGATTAGGGTAGCACCAAACCAATCAGAAGACTGATTTAGTAAGCATCCACCCTTAATCCACTGCACCATGAATGAATCACACACACTCGATCCAGCCACCTCTGAAAAAGCCCCATCCGTGACTGCATTAGGCTTTGGGGGAACATCTAGATACAAGACATAACAATGCCCAAGTCAGAGGCTAGATGGCTGGTGACCAACCTAAAGCACACAGAGTGCACTTCCACTCCCCGCCACGAGGGGCGCAGGAGAGCCAGCCTGGCTAGGTTGCTCTAGTAGACTGCACAGCAAGGACCAAACAGCCTGGCATAGCAATATATTCTCTCTGAAAACAGAACAAAACAAATCAGTAAACTCAAACCATGACTAACAAACACAGTCACGTTCTATTTTAAGGTAAAAATGAAAGCAGGCAAAGCCCCCATGTCATCAATACCTTTAACTGCAATAACAAATGTTTTCTAATAATTTGAAATACAACCTGAACTATTTGTGACGTCCTATTATCATCATCATCAATATTATTACGTGTGTGTGTGTGTGTGTGTGTGTGTGTGTGTGTGTATCTTTCTCAGATTAAAACCAACATTTGAAAGGTAGAGGATGTCTTTTCCTTTATTATTTATTT